TTCTGGGGGTTGCCCTGACCCCAAACCGTGGCAACCAATTTACCCAGTCAACTGTTGCGAGTTGTTTATGTAGAATGACCATCCTCAGGTCCCTTTCGTGTTGAAATCAGTTGGGCTTCTTCACAACAGCTGTGATCAGTCCCAGCCTGCATTAGTCCCAGAGCTTCATAGTCACATCAGTCTGGCCCATCTCCTCTGAGCCTCCTTCCATGGTAGGAGTTTATAAGTCAGTCAAAGAGGGCACACAGAATAAATAAACTGATCTTTTGAGATTGGGCTGCTTTGTATTGATAGATGGGTTAGTATCTCCTAACCATGACGTTGATGCTTTTGCAGCTCCCTTGTTATGTCAGAGGTTTTTTTTTCTGAATGTCTATTCCCAGGCTGGTGTGCAGCAGTACTGTAGCCAAGAAGGCTGGGAAACAAGAGGAAGAAGATAAGATTAGTTCTTTAATTCACAGGGAAGGATGTGCTTAGCTCCTTTCTGTGTTTTTTCTGTTGAAAATTGCAAACATATGCACTGAGTAAACTGGTATTAACAATGTGGTTTAATTAAGTCTGGTTCCAGGCTAAGGGAAAAAAACACATGGACAAACTTAGCAATGAGTGTTACAGTTCACAATGGTGGGGAAAAATGCTGAGTGTAAGAGTAATTGTACTGCTCTGCAGTGCTTTAACCTTAACCTAACATTTTTTTTACCACCCTCTTTCATTGCCTTTTGCATCTTTTGTTCACAGCCTCAGAACACTTGCAGCAATATATACTACAGAAATGTCAGTACTCCCCTGTTTCCTTGTCATTCCATTCTTATTACTGTCCCGTCCACTTCTGTATTCTTTTCCCACAAATTCTTGAGAAATATGACTGCCAGAAAACACTGGGTTTAATTGTACCCATGTAGAATATTTCACAAAGCCCAGCACCAAAAGCAGTGTTCAAAGCACTGTGCAAAATCACGCCTACAGTATTGTATGAAGTGTTTGTAGAAACAGGTATAATGGGGAAGAGCCTGCAGTCATAAAGAGAGGTCAGGAGGTTGCTTTTCCTAAGCTTATGCTTATTGGTTTTATAATTGCATCTTTCCAAACTTAGCTGTACAGCGGTTTGCATTTTAAAAACACCATGCTATGCCAAGTTTGACATTTTGAATTAATAGTAATATACATCATAATAATTGTTCTTATATATTCGATATATAAAACCCTGGCAGGGCAGTGTTTGGTATACGTATGTATATATGTTTCAGTAAACAACCTGCTGTTGTCCTTGCAGAAAACTTAAAGAAATTGTAGCATCTAAGTTAAGATAGGTGATGCATTTTTTATTAATCCTATGCATCTAATTTTTTCTCTGCAAGAATTCTTATTTCCGTAGGTGCTGGCTCACAAATTACTTGGTTGGCTTGTCTGATCCTTTCCAATTACTGCTCTTGTGTGTCTTGACCTTGCTTGTTCTGTTGGACAGTTTGGGTGCATCAGCATCACATAGTGGATTTTTTCGGGTGGAATTCAAGAGTAGCTGTATTGGATCATTGTAAAGTTTATGAACAATACAGGCTTTCTCAAGGAACTGTTTTCTCTGTGTGTAGTTCTCTGTGGGCACTGTTACTTAAAGGTTCAGAGCAATATGTTATACAATCAAAAATCTTTGTGGTGTCTGTGTTAATTTTTAAAAATGACTGAGGTTTTGATCTGTTTCATAATCTTCCGTCATTAAGAGGCAGCCCACCCTGAACTCTAAATATTATGGATGTTCATGACAGCAACTGTGCCTTATCTCCCCTGTGTTCTAAGGGGAGAAGAAAAGCAGTAGGCTTTACTCTGTCTCCATTCTCCTCTCACTTTACTGATTATCGTATCATGTGGTGATTCAGTGCTGCAGAGTTACAGTTGCAAATGACCTGCTCCCTTCCAGTTGAAGTTTTAAAATGGAATCTTTCCAACTTCAATAGTTTGGCTTATTAAATATGAATTCCAAATGTGAAGGTTTTTTTCCAAGAATTACACTGTTGTTGTCTGTAGCTCTTTGCTCAGATGTTTCCTTGTTCGTGTTAGAGCAACATCCAAAGATCCATGTTCCAGTTCCCACCATGCTGTGTGCTATGCATGGTCTGTGGGAACATTCACACCTTAAGAGAAGATGCAGCAATACGTCGTAACACCTTTTGTAAGGAGTTGGGCAGGAGAGCTTGGCTCTGCCAAGAACTCACAGCTACACGAGCTGAGTTCACGTTATTTATTGCAGTAGCTGCTGGAGGCACCCCTTGCGTCTGACATACTGGGTGCACACAGGAAAGCCAGGAGTATACCAAGCAGCCTTCCTCTGTGTGATAACTTTCCTGCTGCCTAGTTTGCCCTTTTGGTAACTTTTGAAACTGGACTGGTCCAATTTACAAAATTAAAATTACATAGCAAAAGATGCCAGAAACCTTCCTTGTAATTAGTAAAGATATCCTTTGGTTACTTGGAGAAGAGAGACCCTATATTGAATTGGGAGGCTGATGTAACCCACGTGATGTAACCCACCTTGTTTACCAGGAGCTGCCAGGCCAGGCCATGGCATTGCTGTAAAACTAGACACAATTCATGCTGTTTCTTATCCCATTTGGGGTGTGCTAGGGGCATGAAGAAGAGCTCAGCTGACTGCAATGAGGGAAGAGGGTGAAGAAAATCCATAGGATGTCTGCCTCCTTAGTACCACTGTTCAGAGTACAAGTTGTTTTTCACAGAATTTTTAATTAATGGTATCTTTTTATATTACAGTGCCATGTGTATGGACTTTATTGGTCTGAGATGTAGATAAAACCATGGCTGGTGACCATTTAATTCTAGTGTACAAAAGGGAATTATATTTCCTGAACTATGTAATACTAGTTTATTCAATTTATAGAGCATTTTGAAAGCTGTGATGCATGATCTGAACAAACTAGTGAGCCTTGTTGCAACACTTCTCTGTTAAGGGAATTCGATGAAACAACAGCTTATAAATTCACCAGCTTCCCTGAAAATGGGAAGTCAGTTATGAACAGATTGGTACAATTAGGCTGTTTCTTGTTTCTCGACACTGTAAAACCAGTGTGTAGTTTCCTGTGGTAGGAAGGCCTTCTGTTGTAGACCAAGACTACTTAAAGATATTCAGGGTGTTTCCGTGTTTATTAAGAGATTTCAGCACACATAGTTCAAAGGAGTTATGTAGCACATGCCTGCAGCAGGCCTCAATTAGTGTTTTTTCTTTTGAAAACTGAGGTTGCCTTGAGAATCTCTTTATTGCGATATAAAATTGTGTACATGTATATTTGTACTGAAATTAATAACTACAGACGTGTAGGATGTCCCTGATGTAATAAAAATGCTTTCAACAGAACTCACAAATTTGAATGTCCCAAGCTTCTAGCATAAGTAGTTAGCACTGTGCTTAAAAATGCAGAACTTGCATCTAAAAATCTTTATAAAATTATGTGTTCTGTCTCGATGCCAAAGGTTATCTTGCCTATAACAATGGAAATACTGTATGTGGAAGAGCTGTTGCCAAATGATCTCATTAGGAGATTGACTGGAAGTGAAACAAGAAAAATAACAAAAAAGTGACGCACCCAATAAAATGTCAGAGTGAAGGACTGAAACTGGCTGGACAACTAGAAACAGGGTTTGTGTTTCGGTCTGAGTCTTGGCAGCAGAGCAGTGTTTGCTGTGTTACTTGGTCTGCTGTGGAAGGTCACTAGTGTTTTTCTTACCCAGTATAACTCTGAGTTGTTTCCTTACTACTACAAATTAAAATGTCACTATTAGTGGCTAGTTTTCCCCTGGACTTCACGGTTGCGGTTGTCAATACTGGATGTTGAGTTCTAGCAGATGCCTTTGGTGTAACAATGAATGGGGTATGTAAGGACAGGAAGAGTGTGTAAATGAGTTACAAGTATAATATTCTTTTGGGAATTGTTCTTCTTTACAGAAACAGTAAAATTAAGAATTGTTACGTTACTAACATAATTTAGATTGTTAGTTATCCAGTCTGCTGTGTATTTCCACATGCTATCAGTAAAATGTAGAATGTATCTTTCATCAAAAATGTCTACTGCAGAAAGAAAAACAGTTCAGGTTCTTCATGTGTGGCTTCAGTAGATAGAATCACTGAAACTCATCGACGAGAGACTGAGGAGAACAAAAATTACAGGGCAGTAGCTCAGAGTGGAGTAAGCCTTAGTTGCAAAACAGAACCAAATCCTATGCATAGAGTTCCTCCCTTCACCAAACTGGTAAACTCTGTATGTATGAAGGCACCAGAAAATGATACACCTTCTTCTGTAATACAAATCTGAGTCAGCTTTTAGTGTGAAGTTTTGTAGCACAAGTCTCAAGCTGCTTCCTATTAAACTAACATTAGAACTTATCTACACATTTCCATGCTTCATTGTATTTATCCTTATAATTTGTTTTCTGATGAGGAAATGTGTGTGCTGTGTGGAGAGGAGAATTCCGTATTTAAAGTATTTAGTTATATCTGGATTTCTTTTAGACTTTTGTTACACTAAAGTTTATGTTAACTACTGCAGAAATCCACACATCTTGTAGCTGCTGTGTAATACTGTATCTTTTTTCAAATCCTAGTGCTACATGGCTTGTGAATTGGTTAATTTGTTTCTTCCCTTCTGTCTTCTAGCTTCATTTAGCAGCCCTGGCTTCATTAAAAGGAGACATAGTGGAACTTAATAAGCGTCTGCAACAAACAGAAAGGGAGCGTGACCTGTTGGAAAAGAAATTGGCAAAAGCACAGGTGAGCAGTAGTTCAAGATTCTCAAGATGGTTCTTGGCTTTGGATTGTCCTTGTTCTTCAGAGAGGAGTATGGTCTGTGAACTGCGGATAAGATACCACAAGTATAATAATGTCACAAATGGAAAGAATTTTAATACTGCAAGAAACAGAGTTGACACAGTTTTCAAGTTTTATGTCTGATGACATTCTTCTAAAAAAATAACAAAAAGCAAGATTAATCTTGTTTTGAAGCAAATGTAAACAGCACCTGCTTTGATATGGTTTAGAATATTAAAGTTGCAGCATACTCTCAGTGGATTAGGTAACTGCTTTCCAGTCCTGGGAGAGATTCAGATGCAGCACAAATTAACACCGATCAAAAGCTATTGCAAATTGGCAATGCTTGGTTTTATGTGAGAAGTTATTTGTGGTCTCAGTCTAGCTTCTAGTAAGCCAGTTTGTATATACCAGTTGTGGGAAATGTAATTAGGGGAAAGCCAAGGGATTTAAGTAAGAATAAGGTAGATAAATGTAGAGAGGCAGATGCAAACGTGGAAAATTGAACTATTATTCTTAATATTTCTCTCTTCTCTAAATAAAACCTTTGTTTTCAGATACTGTCATTCTGACAAATACCTTTTATAAGTACTTTACATTTCAGAGTTAATTAAAAATATATACTGGTTTATACTTGCATAGAGATAGTCAAAACATTTTGTCTTATAAAGGGTAGAACCTTATTTGTTGCTCAGAGAGATTGTGGAATCTCCATTCTTGAAAGACTCAAGCCGCCTGGATCTGGTCTTGTGCAGCCTGCTGTAGATGACCCTCCATGAGTTGGGATAGGGGGTTGGATGGATGACCTCCAGAGATCCCTGTCAACCTCAGCCATACTGTGATTATGCTGATTTAGAGTCTTCAGTATTCAGTGCATTTTGGTAGAGGCTTGTGTCTTTGTACTACTTTAAACTCAAGTCAAACTTAGAAGCTTAAGCAATCTAGATTTTAAGGCTCCTACTTCAGTCCTTCAACCATGTTTTGTTCTTTTTCCACGTTCCCTGATCTTTTTTCAGCTACCTTTATGGTTTTTGGACTTGTAAGTGATACTCTGATTGAAGACCATCAATGCAACATCCAGAAATAAAAAACACTTTCATGTTTTTATTCCCCTCAGTTTGTAAGCCAGAGCGACGCTAGTAGTTAACATTGTTTATCAGCTATAATCTGAAAGCCTTTTCTAATTCCGTCTGCACCCTGACACAGAGTCCTCTTCCTGACATACAGTTTGATATTAGGCTGCATTTGATAATCATTAAACAGTCAGCTGGATCAACTGTATCCAGATGATCCACATCATTCTGCATCACTACACTGACTTTGCTGTGATTTATAACTCTGCAGGGTCTTGTGCTAAGCACAGGAGGGGGGTTTTAGTGTTTTAGTTTTATTTCCACATCTTTGTATAAAAATACACTCTCTCAGCCAATGAAGAGTGAGTACCTTGTAGGTGCTCCCGTACAGTAATGAATTCCCATTGATAGCTACGGGGATTAAGGATCAGTTAACACAGCTAACGTGCTCTCTTAGAGTGAGATGCTTGTTTTCTTTGGTGGTTTACTAATTATGCGTGTGTATGCAGTGTTTGATTTGTAATGCAGTGGGGTTTTACATGGTCTTAGGCTGTGTGTTTATGAACACAAGTGTATTGATGACTGCTGCCAATCATCCAGTACTACTATGAATAACACCAAATCACAATATCTGAAAGCTAGAATGATACCTAGTTTTCAGATAAAAATACTACTTTTTATTGAAAAAATTCTGTTTTAATATTTTAGCTCTTTCAGTGTCCTTTTTTTCTTTAAAGCCCTCATGTGGATAGAAATCTTTGGGGGTGTGTATTTAAAAAAAAAAAGACTCTTTCTTAAGGGAATAAGTAATTAAACAAGCATAACTCACATAGTCAGTATGTTGGCCGTGTTTAAGTACGAAGACAGACTGGTGAAACCACTCTTCTAAAAGTATCACTTCAAGTAGATGCTCCAATTAACATAGATTTTTTAACTTTTTGTTCCACTCCACAGAGTTTCATGCAAAACAGTATCATCTATCATATCATATCTCGTATCATTTTTTTCTTCTACAATCTCTATCTAATGCATTTCTTCCTCACTAATGTGAATCAGAGGTTAAGCAGGCATAAGTTAAATAAGAGGTGTCTGAGGTTCTGCATCACCATATTCAGATGCTGGTGGGTCAGTTTTAAATCTCTACTCTGCTTCCAGAGTATACTTGGAAATGCACCTCATGTTTCGTATCAGCCGGTGTGGTAAATGCTGTCGGGAACAAATAGCTCTTAAAACACAGTTTTGGTAATACCTTTCCCATTTCATACAGCATTTGAGACACATTGGAAGAAAGGATCAGAGATTTGCAGAGCAGAGGTGATTTGGGGAACCACAGTTCCAGTAATAGATAAAAAATGGTGAAGAAAGATAGTTGGATAGCCTGTGCTTAAAATTTTGTGAAGGGATGTAGTTGTTTACTGGTTGTTCTGTCATGCTCATCTCCAAAACTGCAGTCTGTGGACACCTGCTATAGCATTTCCTTACATCCTTCCATTATTTCAATGACACAGCAGATGTCCTTGTCTCTATGTTTATGTTGGTGTGCAGTTGGCAATGGCGGTATAATCTTTTGAATTAAATTGTCTGTGAAGTACTGATCAGCCACAACTAATGTCTTCTTCCAAAAATCTTTCTGTGGTTATAAGAAGAAGAGTAGTGCTTTCTAGTAGCTCTGTCTGGCACAGTGTCCTGGTATTGATACACAGTGGATGTCTGAACCGAGGGCATAAGAAACTCATACAGATATTTCTCCTTCTGCATACTGCCCTGCTTTTCTGCCAGCATCTGTGAGCAGGAGACTGCATTGCATTTCATAGTCCTGTCCTCCGTGGATTTATCTAATCTTCTTTCTAATCTGTCTGCATTCTTGGTGTTTCTTACATCCTGTGGCATTGAGTTCTGCAGTTTTATGGTAGAACATGGGATTTAATAACATGCTGAATGTTTCAGCAAATAGAACAAGAATAGACAATTTACTTACTACATCTTTCTTATCATGTCATCTACTTTCACAAGGTAGTACTGCATTCTTTGTGGTTAGTCTTTGTAATTTTGGAATTTTATAATGTCTCTCGAGACAGGGTGTAGGAGACTGTGCTGCATCATTCTGGATCCTGCTATTACACGACAATAAGTCCCATTACTTCAGTAATAATTCTTTACAAACCTCTGGATTATTCAGAATACAAGGAGGGACAGCAGAACTTCAGTATAAGAATAAAACCAGCACTCTCTAGGCTTAGCAGAACATGTGAACACAGGAAGGCTTCACCTTCCATTTAACAAAATAACCTGAAGTCAAAGTGATGGTGTTCAGATGAGTATTGAAATCACTCATTCCGTTGTGTGGTGGACTTATCTCCTGTGGATTAGTCCTGTGTATTTTTATTTTTGCACGTCAGCTGTTCTGACCATGCGTGTTGTCATCATTGAGAATTTGGCGTGATAGGCTTGGGTTTATACTTAAAATTAGATGAATGGATTGCCACTTTAAAACCTGCCACTCCTCTTAAATTATTATACGGTATTAGTTGAGCAAAGATGTTTAGCTCCTGTGAGCCTGTTAGACAGGTTTATCGTTGTGGCTCATTCAGGTGATGACTTGTGTTCTTGGTGAACAATGCCATAGCCAGTCTTTCTCTGTGCGGAGCCTGAGGCACTGGGGGATCTTTTACCAGCTGCTGCTGGTTTTTTTTTTTTTTGTCCTTTCAACACTGCAAATTTAACATAAATATTTGCATTGGTAGGGTTTCTTGCACTAGGAATTTGCGTACATCAATAGGCAGTAGAATTGTGTTTAGACAATATTTCTGAGTTAAAATATTTTCTCTTATACTTCTTCATACTCTTCTTGCTCTTGTGGTTGTTCTCCAGCAGTAAGAGGTCAGACAAAGATGTTAATTACATTGTTAATTTCTACTGTAATTGAAATCAGCTTTTTAGTCTGTGCCAAAAACCAGGCAATGACTTACACCGAGAACTGTGCTGGAAACTTCTCTCCTGACATCAACAATTGCTAATTTTTTGCAGCGCCTCAGTGGATTATCCCTGTGTTTGTTTTCTCAGGGAATTAGAGCTTTTAATGGTTTTGATAAAAACACAAGTATGAGGCTGGAAGAGGCATGAGGAAGAGGGTGTGAGGTATTTGTCTTAAAAAGTTTGTTTGACTGACATGCAAATAAATCACACGATGTGTACACCTTGGAAAGGAATAAGAACTGCTGGCAGATATTTGCTCAGAGACTCAAAGGACACAGAAACTAAATAGGATAATGACTAGGTTCAGTATCCTAGGAAAAAAAAAAAAAACAAACTTTAGCAAGAGGTACCAAATCATGCATTTGTTTCTTTTCCTTTTTAAACTTTGAGATGAACATGTCATAGTAAGGAGCAGTCCTGTATAACCAGAAGAATTTTCCTTTGCTGCATTTTGGGATTCATACCGAACTATGTTTCCATTGTTTAGATGCTTTTGCCTCTCTTAGTTGAGATATAGCTCTATACCCACCTCCAAGGCACAGTAGTTCTTACCATCTTGTCCCATCTTTCACAGAGGTTTCCATTCTGGCCTTTCCAGTTACTTTTACCCAAGATAATCTAAGAACCCTTTTAAATAAATCAAATATGAATCTGGTGTCTTACATTGCCAGACTGACGGTTGTTCACAAAGTGTGTCTGTCACTAAATGATAGTTATCCTGAAAAATGGTGGCTGAGAAATGGCTGGAGAAAACAGAAAGCAAGTCTGGTAATGTGACTAAGTTCCATTAGCAAGAGTCCATATATCTTCAGTCCAGATAAACAAATTCTGCTTTTCAGTGCACATCTTAGACAAAAATCGTTCTGATGGGTTTTTTTATTTATTTTCAGAAAATAATTATGACACACTCTATCTGACATATCCTTTTTGGTTTTAAAAAAAACAGTGCACATAGTTGATTGATCTGGATAATGCTTAGTGTTTGTGGATGTCACTATGTGTCAGAGGAAATTTAGGTTTAGAAAGGCAGAATAAGCAACTCTTTGTTGCACTTAGATTTGTCCTAAAGCCTTTGTTAAACATTTTCTCTGTGTTATTTCTCCAATTTGAATGGCATGCTGTAGTTCTTTGGCCAGATATGAAACATGCAAAGTAAATTATGGAATGGTCCTACAGTAATGGGTTATTACAATATATGCATTTAACTGTGTCATTTGCCAACATGAAATCTTTAAAAGCCAGGTGAACATTATCAGTCTTCTAAAATGTGACCTTTTACTCTCCTCTTCAGTGTGAAGATATGATCTGTTTGTCTTAGTGCTTTTGACTCCAGGTGCAGTGAAAAACTGTTTTGCTGTAGTCTGTGGAAGGGTGCTATAATGTCTGAGCTACCTTTCAATGAGAATATTCCTGGAATGTAAAAATATTGAAATAAATTTTATTTAACATTTAAGAGAAAAATGTTGAAGCTCACTGTAAATTTTTATTTTCAAGCAGCTTTCTACATACATGATGTTCTCAAGATGTGAATGTGTGACTAAAAAATATGAGAGCAAACTATGAAAATTCTGATGTAACTCCTAGTTCGAGTATAATTTTTTTCTTTATTATATGAAGAGTTGAACCTCTGTATAGAGCATTTTCTTGCTTTGAAAAAGTAAGTTTTGATGCAGAAGCGTTGGAGGACCTCATACAGTGCTATAAATTGTAGCCTTTAGAAATGCTACTAGGATTTTACATGCAGGTCTTCAACTGACAAGTGTAGATTTTATACTGTGAGTTGATTTATGAATTCTCTTGTATTGACAGTGTATTACATACCGTTCTGTTGTTACATGGAGGTTTGACTGTTTCCTGCAGGTGTTTGGAAGCAAAAAGATTCTAGGCACTACCAAGCATAACTTCAGTCAGCATGCACTGTTGAACTGTAGTTGCAGTAGATTGTAATTATTTGCTGTAATTGAAGTAGAGCATTTGTTGGCATGTAGAGTAAGGCAGAGAGTCTAGCTTTAAATTTTTATTGGAAAGAAAAAGTAGGATTTTGTGGTATGTATAAAAAAAATAAGCAGTCACATAGCCTTTTAATTGTTCAAATAATAATATTACTGTAGAGGATTAAAATAATGAAAATACACTATGTTATCCTTAAAAGCTAGTAAAACCAAATAGTCAGACTAGAGAAGAAGTCATAACCTCAACGTGTGGTTACTTTTCTTTAGGACAGTGTGATTTTGGCCTTAGGACTTTTTCTGATTCAGACCACGCTGGCAAGATACTTGGAAGATTCATCACGCATAATGACTCTCATGGATTCAAAGATTACATATTTATAGCTGTTTTGAGTTGCAAAATGTTTTTTTCGTTCAAGCAGGAAAGACAACTTCATCCCTTTAGGGAAATAAAAAAGTAAACTGCACAGTCTTTCACTTCCTAATATCTAGTAATTACATACCTTTGTGTACCTGTCAGTATTTTGCATCTGTCCTTTTCTCTTGCTTAGGCAGCGTTGGCTTGGTGAGTGAGAAAAGCATTAATGGTGTGCGCTTTTGCCTTGTACGTGATCTCCGTGTAGTTACTCATAAGACCTTTTCTGTTCCTTGTGTTGGTGCTTTAGTGTGAACAGTCCCACCTAATGAGAGAGCACGAAGACGTGCAGGAGCGAACAACTCTACGCTACGAAGAACGCATCACAGAGCTGCACAGTATCATTGCTGAATTAAATAAGAAAATTGATCGACTGCAGGGAACAACAATCAGGTACAGCAGCTTCCTGGAAATTCTGGGCCAATGCAAGAATGGGGCAAAACATGGTGTTAATTATACTTAAATATGATTTGAAAATGACTTTACGGTAGTTAGGCTTGTTACAACTGGTACTGAGTAGCTGCCCATAAAGAAGGTGTGTATTCTGCAGAGTATCATCCCAAGGCTCAGAAATGCTACATTCTATCTGGCAAAGCCGTATGAGCACTGCAAAGAGCTGCACTGTGCCATCTAAATATTCCTTTAGTGTAACATACATACCAGGGTGCCAGATAAGTGAAAGCAATGGTGAATAAAGGAAGATGTAGCCACCCAGCCTGCAACTTTGCTTTTAATTTTATATTCTGGCATCCCATAGGTCCTCTAAGCCAAACAACTTGTGGTGAATCATGTCGCTCAACTGGGTTATAGTGGATTTTACATCTGCTTGTACTGGTGTCTGTGATGAAACACAATGGTACAAATCGCATTGCTTCCTGTCCTTGGAGCAGCAAAGCTTGGGGCGTTACACTGGGTCACTTCTTGTTACCAAGTTAAAACACACTGTACATTTGGCTACAGGAAAACACTGATTTTGCCTTGTTTGCTTTTCCCCATTATTCACAGCCTAGAGAAGGCTGGACTAGAACAAGAAAGGAACTTCTTAAAGTTTACCTTGTGAGGATGCAACTGAACTACTAGAATGTGCGGATTGTCTAGAGAATGTCAAAATACATTTGACACTTTTTATAGGTTATGTTGATATGGTGCTCTACCCATGCAGTAGTTTCTGTTTTCCTTGCCTATTAGCTGCAAGTTTTTGGTAAGTGCTTCATTTGTTCTTGTATTTCTCCTAGCACAAGGCAGTGTTGTTCCAAGTACTTAACCTTTCATGAAAATATTTATATGCAAGAATAAAAGGGGTTGTCTACCATAAATAAGAGAAGTGTTATCATATGTATATACCACTATAAATGAAGTGATAAAATCACATTATGTTAATGTTATTTAAGAAGATAAATACTGTGAAATCTGAAATTATCATAACTAGTGATTATCATGGTGAGGTTTTTCAGGTAAGTATTTTCTGAACTGGTAGGTATTTCTCTGAAAAAGTCCCTGTGGCTGCCATGTGCATTCGTGCTCAATACCTCTGCAGGCAAACTTCCCTTCTGTCTCATTTTGAGTCACCTTTCTTTTCAGCACGATATACAGGCTGCCCATCCCACCCTTTTCCTGGTAAAGGGCTACCATTTGAAAAGACTGGTTGAGAAGCAAAACCTGAGAAGCATGAGAGCTGCATTGATAGTTTTTTCTTGAATGGCAGAAGAAGTCTATGATATTTAGGAAGAATACTACACAGAATCCATAAAGATTGTTTGTCTGGGGTCCCTGTGGCAAGGTAAATGCCAAGTGGTGTTCAGTTAGAGAATACTGGAGTCAGGTGGATACCGTGAATGTTTAGCCATGTCTATTAACAAGTCAGCTGTGGCACATGCAGGAAAGGGAGGTGTAAGAACCAAGCTTGATGGGAAGCACATGCTGCTGCTCAAGGAACCGGCAGTTTGCTGCCCTTGCGTGGGGTGGAGGCTTCTGAAGGCATTAGAATAATACTGCTGCAACAGGTGCCACACCACTGTCATGCCTCATCTGTTCAGTCTTTTTGCGTGAGAGCTCATTTTGCTCTAACAGCTAGGATGCCTCCTCTGCTTTTGTTTGTTCCAATTTTATTTGTAAGAACAGAAGAATTCATTGAGTTGTGGAGTTTTTTTTTGTTTCCTTTAGTGATTGCAATAGCATGTTTTCTTTGGCAGGCCAATAATTTGTTGTCTGGGGAACAGAGGAGTAATATTTCTTGTAAAAATGGCAAGCAGAGGTAAAATTGGAGGGATTCCATAGAGTTTGTGAAGACATCTGAAAGAAGGAAAAATGATACTTCCTGATGTGACTTTCTGTAAATCCACCCTGGAGTCTACTTAGGTCATTCTTGAGAAACTGTTCCATCCCTCGGAGCAAGGGTGGTGTAATTGCTGTCCTTGCTGGGACAGGTGTGACTCACAGCACTCCACCCTTGGCTATGGGGACTGTGAGCCTGGGAGCTGGAACGAAACATTCCTGAGAGAAGGCGTTCTGGGAGCATGGCCCTGCTAGTGCCTCAGCATTTTATGCTTGCCTCTAAACTGGAACATAGAGGGGATTCTAATTTTGATATGACTCTTGGATACCTGCAAGTAATACTGAGTGGAACCTTTACTTGTGCTATCACAAAATTTAGGTTGTCTTTTTGGAAACAGTTTTTCTGAGTTTACATTAATTACATAACAGATAAATGTTTTCCCAGTGCTGACACAGACATTGTTCAGTATTTTCATATAGTTTTAGGCCATAAAAATAAACTAATGTGTAGCTTGGTGCACGTAATGTGTAGCATTATGGCATTCTTCATGGTTCCTTACAAAACCCAAAAATATTCTCGAAACAATTAAAAGAAAACAGTGTAATGTGTTTGACTATCCTCCTTAAGCTGTATTATCCTTAAATTTGTAGCTTGTTTCAATCTGAGTAGCAACCTCAGAAAGTGCATAGAAAACAAGCAGAAAGACTAAGTCTCAGTAAGGTATTGCAAGAGTTTAAGCGTTGGCAGGCTGTATAACTTAGTATTCTCAATTCTAAGAATTGTTCTCAGTTTTTTGGTTGATTTTATGTTTTGCCCTTGCAATGTCATGGGGTTTACACAGCTTGCAGTGTGATGGCTTTTGGTCATATGGTTTAGTAATGCTAACTCTAGAAGAAGGCTGCAGTTACATGCCAATGCCTGTGCCTCTTCTCAGGTATGTCTGATGTGCTGATCTTAGTAACAGTAATCTTACAGGACTGTTTTCAGAAGTTTTGAGGATTGTTCTAGGTTTGCTACCCATTTCTTGGGTACAAGAAGTTCCCTGTGTGTGGCCATGTGAAGTTAGCTGCTACTCTTGTGCTACATTCTTCCAGCATTCCCTAAGGAAAATTAGGTCACCATGATTGTGGAGCAAGCCAACATTCATGTGCAATTGTCTCATCTCTCTGCTGCTGCTCTGGACAGCCCAGCTCATGTGAAGGCCCAGCCTCACCAAAAAAATCCTGAAATACAGCTGATATTAAGGCTAAAAATTGTTGCCTGTGCTCATGTTGTGCAAGTAGACAAGCCTCTTCCTTGCCTAGTTTTTCATGAGTGATAGTACAGAATTTACCTACTAACAGCTCAAGAAGGTAGCAGTTTGGGAGAAAAAATAAAATAAAGAAGTTGTCCACTAGGATGGCGATGCTTTTTTTTATTTGAGATACAAATCTTGGCTCTGTCTTTTCTTGGAAAATTATAATTGTGTGACAGTGTCTTGCTATTCTTGTCTACAGTATTAGGGAGAGAGTGGAAGGACCTGGCTAGTATTTTGGTGAAGTTCATTGTAAAACTCAAGTTACAGGCAGTCATAAAACTCTGCAGGGCTGTTGGGCAGAAGAGCTTCTGATAATAGTGCAGAGCACATTTTATCAGCTTCCTTTAGAGTGAACAGCTTTCAATGACTGATGGTGCTAGCTTGTAGGTCCTCTGTTAGCTTATCAAGTGGATGCCAGTGGCAGTAATACTCCTAGAGTTTCAATCTGTAGAAGGCAAAGTTTTTGCATTGCAAAGATCCTCTGTCCTTTGACAAAGTGTATGCCTACTCTCATTTCTTCTCCAAGTGTGTCCAGCTTAGAAGACAGCAAATCAAATCAAATGGATCTTCCCAGTTACAGAGTCATACTGTCAATACCTGGACAAAAATGGTCCATCTGTTAACTCTGAAGCACAGAAAATTGCACAGTAGTGTACTAAAAGGTGAATATTCCTAACTTCAGAAGCTTTTAGTATGGCCTTAGATTCATTCCAGTTCAGCTCTTTGTTGTGCTTAATTGTGTCTTGGGCTGGCAAGATCATCTGTAACTTGGTTGTGCAGAAACAACTTTGGCCTATGACTGACAGTCTTTATTAAATGTCAAAGTGAATTTCAGCAGAAGGAAAAAGGAAGAGATTTGATTGCTTTTAGTTGTAATCCAGTGGCTCTTTGGGTACATGTGTGCAGCCCTAAAAATAATAGCAACTTTAACAATACCAAAGAGAAATGTACTCTGTTGAACATTGGTGCCTGATAAAGATAATTTGAAATGCTTGTCAGGAAGCTTGTAAGCCATTGCTGTAAAGCCATTTATTCAGACTTACAGCTTTTAACCTGAAATATATTCAGAAAGTATAATGAGGAAGAAAGAGAGTGAATAGACTACAGCATCACAAAAAAAATAACACATGGCACTTACAGTCATATTTATACAGTGACCCGGAGGGCTGATTCTAGCTTGTAAATATGTGCTAAGTGGAGGCTACTTGAATTCAATTCAAACCGCAGCATGGGTGTGATAGAGTTGGCTTCAGCATACAGTGCCCACCTGTGATCAGTGATTAATTCCTGTATTGTCTCAATTGTGTTGCTGTTTGTTCAGAAGTGAACTAGTTCAGAGGGACCTAGAGTGTGTATACACAGGGAGCACTCAGTCTCTGGATTGCAGTACATGTGCACCTGTAGTATTTTCTGAGGGTCTTAGAGTGCCTTAAGAGTACTTGTTCAAATAAAATGAAGTGTGAAGCTATGCACTGTTTGCAGCTGTGAAGAGAATGTGCACTTTACCAGCGTCCTGACAGAACTCATCCATGGTGTGAAAGAATGCTGAAACTGTGATGTTTTGCTTAGTATTTGATCACGTTTTATTCCGTGTCTGTGCAATGTTGTGATCTTTGGGTGCACCAAAACATGAGGAAAGCATAAGTGCAGGTGTATCTGTAAAACACACTTTTTTGCTCCAACATTGATCCTAGCCCACTCTGTGTTCAGAACGGCTTTGTTTGATCTTAACTGCCTCCAACTCACTCCAAGCAACTGGGAACTATCAGGGCCCATAGGAGAGCAAACTATCTGCTTTCCCAAGCCAGGCTGTAGATGATGGCAGCAACCAGGAAATTGGAATGCCTCCATCTTCTGGGTGGTGTGGCAGGAGTTCAGTGGCTAGTCATTATCAGCTGTTGAGCCCCTTGCATTTCCAGTGCCACTGGAGGATTCTCTCCTGTTTTGGGGAAATGGGCATCTCAAACACTATCTTCTGTTACTGACAACTTCGATTTTAAAGGCAGAATTTATATTTGTGGTGCATTGCTCCCCTTGATTTTTCCCCTTGTGTTTGTAGCCCTCGCTCTACCCCCTGAAAGACTGGTGGTGGACAGACTGATCAACCTTGCTGTCTCCTTATCAGAAAGGGATTTCTAATTTTTCTGGTCAAGTCATAGAAGCATTAGTTCATTCAAAAACTGACTTCTGGATTGAGCTGTTGGAAAGGTGTGAGATCTGCTGTGTGACATACTTTTCAACTGCCCCGAGGTACTGGTTAAACTGAAAAAAACAACCCGTGCTAGCTAGATGAAGCTGTGTTGGATTTTAAACAGAAATCTATGCAATGATAACCAAAATGTGAGTGGTGAGAAATTATTACTGTGTGTGGAATTGTTTTATGATCAATACAGCTTCTTGTCCATTTGTAGAGGTAACTCAGGTTTTAAAAATGTAGGACTAATTGTTTCATAAATGAAAAAATTAGTTACCTTCAGACGAAAAAAAATGCAAGTGTTTGAGTGCCTGATAACTGTTTTTGGCTAAAGCTAATTACTAATGGCTTGTGTTATGGCTACTAATAAACAAGTTCATGGAACATTACCTCACATGTAATGAAGACACATAAAATGTTTTAATTCCTGCTATTCGTGATTTAGTTATCACACTTTCTGAAATGTGTTGCATGGTACTTTAAAGACCTTTCTCTGATCTAATCTCAATTTTAACCAGCTGACCTCATTTTTGTTTAATAGTAGTCACTAAGTGCTTCTGATATGTCAGACTCTCTTTGCACTGAAGCTCATAAAAGGGGTAGAAGGGCATCATTCTTGTAGAAATTACATCTCCATACCTTGGGAAACCCTGCTTGGCAATCAGACTGCAATTCCTTTGTTGAGTTGGCCTGGTTCATAAATTGTCACCTCCGCTAGTTTGACAGCGGGCTTTACTTCTGTCATAGTTCCCTGTATGTACAAAGTAGGTAGCTCTTTGCTATTTCTTATTGTTTCCAAATCCAGGTGGTTCCATCCTCACACTTTTCTGCTGAATCTGCAGCAAAATTAATCTCTGCATTTGATTTTGCATGTAACAAAATGATTGCTGTTTGCGTACTTATCAGAGGGACTCTGTACCTGGATAAGCTGGTATTTTTCTCATGTTTAAAATATATACTTTAATGTCAAAACCGTCACTAAGGAAATAAAACACGGAGTTGAATCAGCAAGTGAATGAAAAGCAAATGTTTACACATGTTCTCTGGCAAAGTTATTATTCATTACTTATCTTTTTTCCCAGTGCTTTGAACTCTTCATGTGGAGACAGGAGGGAAAAGCCCTAATTTTTTAAGCTCATTAGCTTTAGCTAAACTATTCTGTGACCTCAATTATTTTAGTAGAACCAGCTTGACAAATAAGTTAAAACCTAGGTAATTGAAGCTTTTTATTTTCCACTGACTCCAGCAGTTTGGCACTATACTCACTTACCTGTTCTCTTCCTTTTGATAAGAGAAAATTAAAAATCTACCTGTCCCCAAGAGCCTTTAGATACACACGTGGAGGTATTTGTGTGCTTGCTTTGAGCAAAAGCTGATTGCGTCCTCGAACTGAAAAACAGACGAAAATCGGTTACTGCTAATCCAATTTGGGATCAAAAGCCATTTGTGCTTATTAAGAATTGTCAGTTGGGGAGTTGCTGCAGAGCAGTGTGTGTCCTTGCATACATCTTTGCTTGCACTCGGTTCCACCCATTGTTTCCTTGCACAGTGAACTGGAATAATAATGAACTTTGGAATAAAGAAATGGAAACCAGGCACTGGGTGCTGCAAGTGGGTGTTACAGGCATAGCACAATAGCTTTGCAGTAAAGGGTGTAAGCCCTTCTCCACTGACTGGACAAAAAACACACTTTGTGACACTTATCTGAAGTAAGTGTCATGGAGATATGCATTTCCTCAAAGGATTTTATTTGTGCCTTTGCTCTCTCTCCCAGGGAGGAAGATGAGTATTCAGAGCTGCGGTCAGAGCTCAGCCAAAGCCAGCATGAGGTTAACGATGACTCGCGCAGCATGGACCAAAATTCTGTTTCAGTACCAGAGAATCAATCCACCATGGTCACTGCAGACGTGGGTGAGTTACACTTCTTAGTAGACACGGCACCTTCTTCAGCAGAAAGGCATCATAGCCTCTGAAATGCAAATCCAAACACTGGTGAGGAAATAAAGGAATCTGGACTGTGTTAATCATAATAAATGCTGAACTTCTTCGCAACAATGAACTTGTATGTGAAGTAACATCTGTACCTTGATGTAGAAAAACTGTGGAGCCTAAAATTGAATGGTTGTTCAAGAGATCTCATTACTTTTGGGAAAGAATAGGGAGAAAAACAATATAGGTACCTTACATGAGCCTGTAAAGTAGTCTAACTCTAGGAAAGAATCACAAGAAGAGTAAAATTTGGGGGAAGAGCACAGGGAATGAAGGTGTCTGTCCAGTTCTTTTGCAGCCTGATTATAAAGGATGCCTGTGCTTTTCAAAAACTGGGAGTCTTTTTGAAGTATGGAATATGGATAGCTTTCTGAAGTGGATTTAGACAAGGATAAATGTGACACAAGTCATTCAAATAAAGTGCAAGGAGGCAGCACCTCCAGATAGTCTGTAACTAATTTTTTTTTCTGAGTAAGAACAAAGAGGGCAAGAATGTTGCCTTCATAATTTCATCAGTTTTGTCATCCAAGCACAACTACTGATCATTTGAAGAACCTCTGAGTATGGAGTAGTTACTCCATAAAGTTTGCAATGTAAGCATGAGCAAATACTAGGCCTTCAGTGTGATAATGTTTTAAGTGTTTGGGCACAATTGCTGAGTGCCATAGCTTCAGACTAGCAGAAGTCTGATGTAATCCCCACTATAAATGATTTCCAGAGTTCTCTTCAGAATATTATTTCTCTTAATTTATCTTTAAAACAAAATAGTTGATCTTCGTTTTCTTCTGTAGGTAAACTAGCTGAGTGCCTGGGAGTTTCTGTGGATGATACTGTACACAAGCAGTGTTGTAGGAAATTATCGACATAGCAGTCGTAAGCCTGTTGCAGAACTTGTGATCCTTAATTATTAAGTTATTAACTTTACATTAGGCTTTCATTGCTGTCATGCATTGTGCAATATTTGATTCCATACGTAAGAAACAGTATTAGAACGGTTTCCACTTCTTTGGAGAAGTGCATCTCATTACTGAGAACTTTTTGCTGCTTTTTGCAGTACGCTGCCTTTTAGAGGAATGGACCTGAGAGTAGGCTGACTTTTGGGCGTAGTATTCTTCAAGTTTCATGATGCAGAAAACATGCTGATATTGTAAGCAACCGTATAAAAGAGATTTTTTTCGTGTGATTTCTTGAACTGAAATCAGTATGCCAGCTCTGGAATGACACTTTTTTATAAACACAAGACCAGCCATAGTGCATTTGTATTTCTTTACAATTTGTATTGTCATTAATTTCTAGAAACATTGATACAACAATATTAATAATAATGCAATTGCAGTGTGTCTGACATATGGAATTCAAAGTATGGTTAACAAAATATCATATGGGGTCAAGATATTTTAGTAGAGCTTTTTATATTCTTCAAAAATAAATGCTTTTACTTTCAAAAGTTAATGCTTATTATTAAGTTCCTACTTGAACAGATTCTAACATTGAGATTTTTTTCCCTTTAGTTCTCTTTCATTTTTTTCCCCCCTTTCCTTTGACAAAAAAAAGAAAAAAAAAAAAAGAAAAAAAAAACTCATTTATTTTAGGTTAGGGCTTTGATTTAGTTTTTCATGGCATGGGGCTGAAGCACACTTCATGTACTTTAACAGCAAGATATCCAGTTAAGTTTCTGCTAACAGTGGGAAACATGGCAAGAAGATGAAATACAGCAATGAACAACATAAGAAGTTAACTCTAGAGATCCTTGCATTTTTCCCATTTTTTCCTTCTGTACATAGATTCTCTCCTTTTTGGGTGTTGTTCCCATATTCCTGTGAAAACAAATCCTTTTGTGTGTGTGTGTGTTTAAGTCTATCAGTTGGTGAGGAAAAAGTGACAGATTGCAAGGCCATTCCTTGAACAGTATCAGCGGTAGCTGTTCTGCAACAGATACTTCCTGGGTTTGAGTTTGTTTCTTTTTTGGTTTGTTTCTTTTTTACTGAGTCCTGAATTGTTGCGATATTTGTTTTTGTTTTGTTTTCCTTTCTCTTAGATAACTGTAGTGACCTGAATTCAGAGCTGCAAAGAGTGCTGACAGGTCTGGAAAACGTTGTCTGCGGAAGGAAGAAAAGCAGCTGCAGTTTGTCGGTAGCGGAAGTGGACAGACACATTGAGCAGCTCACTACCGCCAGTGAGCACTGTGATTTAGCCATTAAGGTAACAGTTTGATTAGGCTTTAAATGCAGCATCTAGGCTGCCTGAGACACCTGCCTACATTCTGTAAAAACAGCACTTTGCTTCCAAAGGTGTCATAATACTTCACGGAAGTCAACTTACCCAGCTCACAACGTGTGTTAGGTAAGCAGTAGTACAGCTGTTTTACACTGAATTCTTCAAGGCACAGGAGGAGCGACTAATAGACTTTTGATCCCAAATCAGAAATGTATTAGTCTTATGCTCCTTTCAGAGATAAGAGAAATCACTCGACAGTTAGTTTACTTTCTGAAGGTTATCCACCAAACGAGTTTTCACTTGCCCAGGGTCACATAGCTCGTCATTGATTGGTAACTGAAAACACAGTATGTAATACATGCTGAAATTTGGAGACAACAATTTGGATAAAGGTCCCTCAGCTTTGTTAAGGACTGTAGGGCAGCCCTTAATATGACTGTGAGAGCCATGCTCTCTCGATACTGTCACTGCTTGGAAAAGTGAGGGGCTGGAAAAATTACAACACTAGGAGCATGGGGAATAAGCAGGAGGAGGGAGCAGCAGAACTTGGCATTAAAGGAGAAGGGAAACAGCAGGACAAGTGCATGAAAGAGGAGAGGACTTTGAGAGGAAGAAGGAAGAGAAGACAGCAACAAACAGGCACCTTTTAAAACAGAACTGGCATCATCAAGAGAAAATGCTTCTGCCATTACAGAGCTTTTATTCACATAGTAGGATTAACTGCCCTATGCTTATTCAGAACTTGAACTCATCCTTGTGTTGAAATAACTTTCCTTGTCATAGTTTAAGGCCTATAGATAAAAGTGAAACCAATGTAAGAAGGAGCTGCAGCTTCTTTCATCTTGCAGAGATCTTGCAATGCATTGCTCTTTTAGAAAAGTGATTTAAGCTTACTCCCAAAATTGTAAACAGAATTATAGTGTAGGTACACTGTCAATGGAGTTTATATTTATGACTCTAAACGTACTGCACTTTTATGGAAGAGAGACATGAAATACAATTTAAAAGGTTAAACTCAATCTGACTGCAAAAGTTTTGTCCCTGCTTCTTCTGTAGAGGCATCTTGAACTAGCTGTTAAAAGCAGGTTTTTTTCCCTTTTGTATGTGTGTCCTTTTTTACTCACTAAGGGGTCTGCTGTAGCCAAGATTTATTCTTTAAGATTAATTTACTGATAACAATAAATAACCAACTTTTCATTATAACGGACAAATAATAAAGTTTCACTGATAACTTACTGCAAGATAGTGTTGAAAACACTGGAAACATTTCCTGCAGGAAAAATACCAAACAAGCCATAATTTTGTATAATGTTACTTAGCAAACAAAAGAAGCAAATAAATGGTGTTGTGGGGCTGGGTGTATACATGCAGGTGTCTATATGATTGCCTGTTACTTGCTCCTGCCCTGTGTACATCTTTGTTTTTGATGACTGTATTTTTGCAGACCGTAGAAGAAATTGAGGGTGTCCTGGGACGCGACCTTTACCCAAATCTATCTGAGGAGAGATCTCGTTGGGAAAAGGAGCTAGCTGGGCTGCGGGAAGAGAATGAGAGCCTCACAGCCATGCTGTGTAGCAAGGAGGAGGAGCTGAACAGGACCAAGGCCACCATGAATGCTATCCGTGAAGAAAGGGACAGGCTGCGCAGAAGGGTGAGGCTGCTGCATAGGTGATGGCTTCCTGTTCTTCCTAGCCTGTTTTGTCAGCCAAATAAGCCTGTGTGTAATCTCACTTCCTGTACTGTTTATGGGGCCTTTTCTTTGTAAAGCTGAGCTATACAAATTTCATACCTAGAACAAAACTGATTCTGTAACTGAACAAGAATGAGTGAGGAACAACCAGAGTGTATGACAACCTGGCATCCGAAGTCATATGTTAACAGAAAACCTGAGATACTCATCTCCAAGGAGGTGTCTATAGAGAAAGATGTTCATTTAGTGAATTTTCCTGTGAGGCATTTTTTTCTGTAAACAACAAGTATTTATTTTTGTTGGGAATTTGTTTTTGATTAGGAGAGGAGAAAGCGCAGGACTCATGTCAGTGGGTAATAATTCTCAGAACTGAGCAGTGAGGAGTACCAGCCATGTCCTGCTTCCCTGTCTACATTTTATGATGTTGTTATGATGTTGCAAGGTTAGATAAAAGCCTTGTGCTTTTTGTGGAGTAAAAAAAAAATAAATTGAAGTTTGCTCGCCAAAAAGAGGAAAGATCCAAGACAATGTCACCTCAATTTCTGTTTCTTTTAAAATTTGTCAACTTTGTCCCTGTTAAATCTGTAGAGTTTTGACTAGGTAGGAAATAATTTTGTTTTTAAAATGTTCAGTTTAAAGATTGTGTTTGGGTGATGATTTAAAACACTCTATCTTGGTAAAATTATTGGCAGTTTTGTTCTTTTAACTACAGGCAGCCGATCAACCCTTTATGATGAGGGAAGAATAGTAATCTGCTATTCCTTAAAGAAAGGCTACTTCATCTTTCCTTTTGTAAAATTTAGGTTTATTGTCTAGCGTAAATTTCAGTCCTGAAGTTTTTGGACTGATTTTATAGTGATGCTTCTTTTTAAACAGAGGCAGTACCACCCCTTGAGCTACAGCAGCAGCGTTTGTGCACCTGGAGAATTATTGCAGGCCTGAGGCAAGAGGAAGGGGGTGGGGGGACTGGGAGGGGGCAGCAAGTGGGCAGAGAATAGAAGAATGTACTTGTGGAAATGCTTACACAAATGCATATATTTACACTATAGATGATACAGATCAATATTAGGATATCATTACAATAAAGACAATGACCTTGAGGATAGAATGAATAGAAAAATACTGACATAAGTTAAGGTGCTTAAAAGGTGGATAACAAGAGTTTATACTCATAGACAGGAGCTCTTTGGTTAACAAAAAAAATAGAAAAGGGGAAGAGTTGGTGTTTATACCCTCAGGGATCAGCATGGCTGGGCCCATACTACATCGTGGCAGATTCAGTCCTACCAGATAAGTTATTTCCAGTAGACATTGGAAAGACTGGAGAGATATGTTGTGGAATGTGATATGTAGTTCTTAACTCTTATGCTTGAAAAAGTTCCTTTAAATTGGAAAAATAATGATGTAGAAGGTGGTCAGAGAAATGGGCAGCTTCCTTGGAGAAGTGACTTAGAGAGATTGATTGCCCTTTTCATCTTGGCAAAGAAAAATCTGAATTTGATTTATCTTTAGAAGAGCTGAAGACAGCAGGTAAAAGAGTGGGAACTAGTGACTGTTCAAACTCGGAGACAAAACCAGAGCAACAACAGATTAATATAAACCACTTGTGGCTGTGTTAGGCCAGAAACTAGACAATGAAGTGTCTAACAGAGAAGAGGATTGTGGTTCTTAAGAAGCAGTAAAGACTAAGGCTACTAACTACTTTGAAAAAGGAGCTTAAAAATATATGTTATATTTTTCTAATGAAATGTATGACTATACAGAGATACCTGTTAAAACCAGGATCATTACATCAGTATTGTATCCAAAGGACAGCAAAAAAGCATGTTTTAATTGGCCCGGTTATACAGCTGCATTAGTTCTAGAGGTAGTTTTAGTATCTCTGCACAAAACTGTTTATATTTTGTCTGGCTGCCAGCAGTAGCATAGGGTTGGTTCAGATGATGAGGAAGATGCTGTCTACTTAAGCGTATGTGGATACTGCTTGATTTGGTCCCCGTTGGAATCCCCAGTGAACGAAGCATCTGTGGAGCCACACAGTGTTAATAACTCGTGTTATTGCACACATCACAATTTCCTTGGTATAGGCAGAGCCCAGGGCTGAAAGGATATTGTGTTAATCATGTTGATCTAGATCTAGCCTGTCTGTTTGAACTGTTAGCCGGGATGCTGCGTGTGTTTCTGCTGTGGAAGCTTCCCCGTGGAAGCAGAATTGAGGTCATCAACTTGTTTCACGTAAGTGGCTAGAGCAATTGTTGGACGATAGCAGCAGTGGAACATTACTGACCCAAATTATGTTCAAACCACTGACCCTGCAGAGAGCAAGTCTTGGGTTGTTCTGTAGAGACTGTGAGCTGTTGTTTGTGTACAGCAAGCCAGTTTAAATGTTCATTCTTCTTTTATTAAGGAAACTCTTTTTGGACAGAGGGGGTAGATACCTTGCCCAGTAGACATCAGTTTAATGGTGGATTGGCACAAAGCATAACAAAATCAAGCAGCCTCTATATTTGGGTACATCTGGCAGGGATTTTTTTTTTTTCGGTGGTTTTCATTTCGTTTTCACCTATACAGGACTTTACTGAAATATGTTCTTTTTAATATCATCCCAAATGTTCAGAACAACTGTTTTATTGCTCCCGCCAGAGAAGTTTGTTCATGGCATGTGACCCTGTCAGTGACACTATACGATTGTTGCACTAGAAACTCTATTTGCATTTTAAATATAGCTTTGTGTCCATAGTTGCAACAAAATAAATGTTTTCCTTGATTTATTAAATATTTTCTGTATGCCACCTGAACTCAAAGTCACTTCAGATTATTTCCCTGGAGAGTGGGAAAGGAGATCCAACTAAAATTTAGTTATTATTCTTTTCAAATTAAATTGGGTGAAGTGAATAAGCTTGAAGTTGACCAGATCAATAGGTCTCTTGCTTTAGACCAATGTCTGTAATCAAGCAGAGTGCTTTCAATACATTTTTCTCAGGCTTGTTGGAGATTTAATTTAATTAGGTATTTGCTGTGCCCAGTTAACAGATTGAGCCACTTTCTAGAACAGTAGCTAAGAAACAACATACATATGGAGTTTGTTTCTCACAGGTCATTAGTAGATGAGATAATCACCTATTTCTGTAGGGTGCCTTCAGTGTAGTAGCTTATTTTATAGCGCAGAGGTTTATTTTACTTCTGTATGATATTGCCATATTAAAAATAAAATCTATTTAAGTCCTGTACAGTCGATGCCCTAGAAACTGCTTACACATAGCTGACCGTAATCCTGACTCCAGTAATACAGATAAGGTGCTGGGAAATTTCTGTGCCAGTTCATGGGATTAATATTACTATTACATGAGAATAAGGTTGTAATCAGTTCAGCGCTATTTAAAAATGCTGTGTGTAGTAGCAGGCTTAAATAGTAGTAGAAAAAGTAGTATTTGTGTTCTTACACAGAATCACTTGTGTTCACTTGATTGAACACGATTGAGATTGAGATGAGCAGCACTGATACAGCATATAAACTCCGTCCTGACTGCAAAGTAGAAGTTGTGGGGTCTTTATTTACCGCTCATGAACGTTGCCTGTTGAGTTGTGCCTCAGCTTAGTCCCAGGCAGCCCACTGACATAAGAAACAGTGGGTGTGGGCAGTGTTCAGGTTTCCCTGAGGCTGTTCTGAAGAATTAAGTCTAAAGTGAAAAAGCGGTTCCAGCTCTGGCAGGCTGTTGAGTCTTTTCTCTGCATAAGCCATATGTCAACTTGTTCAGTTAATCCAGTGCTTTTAGTTGTGAGGATTATTCTGTATCTGCTCCAAACTCAACTGAATTAATCAAACTGACCAGAACAAAACTAGACTTAATATTTTAGCCGTCCTTGACTTAAGACCTTCATGGAAACGTAATCTGCAGGGGAGTAGAAAAGTGCTATTTTAATGCATTAAACCCCAGATGCCCAAATTGCCTCCACTCCAAGAAACATCATTTTAGCATCAAGGCTCTCCCAGAATGCCTTGTTCTTGTGAGAAGTTGAAACCTGTCCAAACCACAGCAGTACTGAGATCCTTGGCCTCGCAGGCATTATTGAGCCCACACTGTTCTCAGATGACACAAAGCTTGCATGAGCTGCTCGACTGTCCTTGCTTTTGTGTTAGACATCTTGTGATCAGAAAGTATTGTTTCAGATTGCTAAAGAACACTGATATGTTATGGTCCTTTAGAGATTATTATCAGCTTGCGCTGCTCTGTCTCCTTGTCTCTTGGTGTGTACCAGAAACCTGAGATAGCAGCCAAAAGCTATTTCCATTCTCCACCTCCTTCAGCTCCATGGTATTTGCTTATGCAGCAGTATTTCAGCTTAGCTGTTAACAAACTAGATTTTTGATTCTGTTTCCAAGCTTATGTGTAAATGCTGAATGGTTAATATAAAATTAAATTGGAAAAAGCCTGAGATAGGCTTACTGCCCTTGCTTGTGTTTCTTTCCACTGTGTACTAGCTGGGATCAGAACACTTTGGTTGTGCTTGAAGCTTTTAGGGAATCCACCCTTCATCTCCAGTGTCATGTTATGCCTTGTCCTTGGCTGTCGTTGCTTTGCATCCTTTACAGCGGTGCAGCACTCTGTTCTTTCCACACAGAGCATGGCATAGAGTCACAGAACATTTTAAGCTGGAAGGGATCTCTTGGAGGTCATCTGCTCCAGCCTCCCTTCACAAACAGGGACATCTCATGACGGATTTTTGTCTGAAAGGTGTCAAAAGTAGAGAAGTGCTTGCTTGGTAACGTATTTGTATTACTCAGTGCATGGTGGCCTCTGCTGCTACTTGAAAATATCCATATGTATAAAGCCTAGTAGCATACCTGTTCTCCTGTAGCTTGTTGCATCTCTGTGTTGTTCCCTTTTGCTGTTCAAAGTAATTGTTCAAACTGCAGATTGATTTTTCAGACCTGTCAGAGCAGTAGTGCTCCTAGGGAC